TAATATATTTATATTTCAAGTAGTTATATGATATAAGTTATAAAAACTAATATAATATAACACATGTAAGTCATAAGCAACACATATCATTCTAAAATATATAGTAATATAGTTTTTTTTGTAAAAAAGTAAACTAAATTTAATATAATTTTCTCATTAATTTTAAAATTTAAGAATAATTTTTTAACAAGCACCCGTGTAATACACGGATATTGTACTAGTGAGTATAATAATGTAATAATTAAACTTCATGTAATTTAGGTATAGTAAAATAACGAAAAAAAAATATCTTTGAATAAAAGTAATTTTATTGAAAAATCTATATTAATAAATTAATTTCACTGATAATACGGAGAAGGAAAAGTTGAAATAAATAAAAACTAACTTGAAATAAATCAATGCGTCGACAGACACATTTGTATCTTTCATCCACCGAGTCGCCGACCGCCGTCTCCTCAATCTCCGGCGGCTCTCTGTCTCTCTCAAATCCTCTTCCGACCACCGCTGATCTCATCGTGCCTCCGGTTTTTCTCTGAAGTGCACTCACCGGAAGATTATTAGGTCTGCTCTCTTTCTTCTCTCCTTGTTTTGCCTTTAACAACTAAATTAGTAAAGTTTTTCGTAGCCTGTGATGGATTCTACAGTCTTAGCTGCCGTTATTGGTCATGCAAATGACTAAATTCTAATCTTTAGCTGAATTTCTGTTCTGATGCTTTCCGATTGGCCTGTATATTTAGAATAATTGAGGAAAAAAGTTGTTGATATAATCTTTGTTGAGTCGTGGTTTTTGGGTTTTAATTGTGTGTTGGTTTGTGAGAACTACAATATTTAGATAGTATAAAAAAATGTGATTATGGAGTATATTTACAGTAGGTTTCTTGAGTTCATTGCCCGGCCATGAATATGCTTTAATCTGTGTGTGTGTGTGTAGGAATGCGTGTGATTGGTTCGCGAATTAACCTTTTCAATGGTAATTATGTAATGATCCATTTGCATCTAACTGAATCGTGCCGCTGCAAAATATAAGTCGAATTTATTAGTGTGTATTGATCGCAGCGTTCTTCGTATTGGACCAGTCTTGAAATTTATTTTGGGACATTGCTGAGATACTGTTTCATTAAACTGAAGATTTTGGAGGGTTATGGATGCCGAGATGAAATCGATATATCACGAGAGGCAAAAGTTACAATTCTGCTTATTGCACTCCCTAAACAATCTATACCAGGTACACTAGTTCCTGTAACTTTCTCCTTTCTCAAGTGTTGGACTATGTAAATTGTAAAGCACGTGTATCGATACACATTAATTACAAATTCAGAGTGTAATCCTAAGCGGAGGTCTTATTAAGATCAGACTGTCTCTCCATTTCGAAAGATGTTTTCTTTTGCCGATTCGGATGACTAAATTAAAGTCTCATTTTTGTGAACATAAGCAGTTTGATTGATTAATTATATATATTTAGGAGAAAGACGCGTTTACCCGCGCCTATCTGAATGCCGTAGCTGAAAAACTTGACCTGGAGGACCCGAACAAGTCTGCCCGTACGCCATTGTCTGTTGTCTTCAAGTCCCACCACAACGTGTTCACAGGAAACTATGACATTAATGTCTTGATTGCTGCACTCAAGGAGAGGGGCAAAGTGGTAACTTGGCACGACCGGCGTTGTGGGGCGTCCTCGATTGATCTCGACCAACCAGAAGATAAATTGTTCGGCATCATAGTTAATGTCCCAGTGAGAAGGTGATGGGATGGTGGCTTTTGACCCCCCCTAGGTGCCTACATTTCGACGATGATCTGTTTTGAAGGATGAATCTAGTTCGTCGGTCCAGATCTGGTCAGCTATAGCCATTATGGATTTAGAGTTTGTGGATCTGTGTCTTTGGTCAAGGTACAGTTTTTCTTAGGTGGTCGTCTTCGTTTCTTGACTCGTGTGGTGGTGGTTTTGGTGTAGCTTGACAAGTAACTCGAGAGGACTTTAATTTCTATTTAGTAGTCAATCCCTATATAGAATTTGCTCTTTTTGTGTGTTTGTATTTGTTTTCTTGTTTTATTCTCCATTATTGAAGGTCATATTCTCCGTTGTAGATATATTGTAATATCTTTTTATGTTGTGTACGTGTTGTTAGGCTACATTTGAGTAGACCTCTGTCTAGATTCAACTTTGTAGCTGATTAATTCGGTTGATTTTATTTGTTTTCTAGTTTGTAGTAATGTGTCTTTATAATATAAATTCCACAATTTTGAAAAAAAAAAAGACGAATTATAGAAAATTATACGAATCTTTCAGTACAAGAAAATGATGAAATTCTAACGGAAATTTATTATAATAGATTATTCCAACGGCAATTCCAAAGGATATTTCAATACTATTATTTCCGTTTCCGATCGGTAAACGGAGGCTTCACGCGCTCTCACACGCGCGAGTGATCGACCAGCAGCTGCTCCTCCCGGTGGCGCGTGGCGGCGCGTGCGGCGTC